TAAATATATAATAAATTATAATGTATAATATGTATTATTTTATGTTATATATAATATAAATTACAGTCACGTTATTTTCACGTGTTGTTTTTCTACTCTTTCCTGTCGCGTGACTTTAGTTACGTTTTTAATTTTCTCTACATATACGACAAACTGTCTCAAAATCGCATTTTATTATTTACTCTCTCGATCTTACTGATTCGATTCAACTCGATTAACCAACCAACCAATCGGCAACGCGGAAAAGAAGCAACAATAGATGCAATACATTCGGTTCCAAAACGCGCACTTCTCGGTCCAAATGCCCTTTTTTATATAGGATTCAAACTTTAAATTTTTAAGAAGTTTTTAAAAAACTTTTTGAACACATTTTGTATTTCGGCAAAATTACGTTTAGGTGAAAAAAGCGCACGTGATTTTCGAAAGTTCTCTTCGTTCAAGCGCGTTTGGTGTACGCGATGATGATATACGGTCGTCGTGCGCAGCAAAGCGTAACGAAGAAAAACGCGTTCACGCATTGTCTGATTTTATTGTTACCAAGCTCGGCGTATATAATGGCAATGATCTCGAAATCGATGCTCACCTGCGAGTTTACGAAGAGAAAGTGCATCTGCAAGAATGTGAACAGGCCGTGCAGCACCGGGTGGACGAAGACGACGTCGGTCAGGCACTCGGCGCCCTGCATCATCGAGTGCATGGCCATCTCCAGACCGTTGAAAACCAGCGTCGCCAGACCGAACACTGGAAAAAAAAAAAGACCACGCGCGCGAGTTTTACCGAAGCTCTCGTCCTGAGACGCTGAATTGAAATTTTTTATCGATACAAAATGCGCAGAAGTGTGTGAAAAAACAATTTTCGGAAAGCGGATATTGATCGAGGGAAAATTTAAATCGAGGTTGTTTGTACAAGATAATTGTCCCGATAACCGGATATTTACAAACATAATCATTAGATGCAAACAGATGAGCGTGTAAATATTGAACAATTCTCAATGTTTCAAGTAATTTTTTTAAGATACGTTTTTCAATATTAGTTGATAACTTAAATATACTTTGATATAAATTAGTTCTTTAATAAATGTCCGGCGGTGCTTGTCCGGTCATTAAGATATTTATACTTTTAAACAACGATAATAAAGTATACGTAACGATATGTAACGATAAAAACCGGTTTTTCTCTCGCTCGACGCACAGGCGGATTAGTCGTTGATTTACTTACAAAGAGCGCCAACGCGGATGTAGAAACTGGTCGGCGCGGTCCTGGACCTGGAGATGTGCGCCCGTTTTAACGACCCGAATCTGGTAAGCGACGCGCCGCCGAGTTCCGCGTCGCCGAGTCCGCCACCCCGGCTCAAACTGCCGCAACTGTCAATCAGCACCCATATGTAGATGCCGATAATAACGGCGATGCTGCCTACGTAGAGATACATGAGAAAGACGCCCTGGGGAAGAAAGAAAAACGATCGTTGACTCATTACGCGCGACTTGTCGCTTATCGGCGGACGCGTGCCGCTCGTTATGCAAACGACGGGGAACGTCACAGGCGCGGGGGGCCCGATCGCCTAAAGCCCGATGACGTGACGTTTTCGACGCGGCTCTCGCAACTTATGCGCGAACGAAAGTTCCTCGACCGTGATCGTGCGCAAACCGTGATCTCCAGATTACTCGTTACGCTCGGCGCGGTTCCTGTTATCTCGGACCGCTACGCGTTTTTTTTTTTTTTTTTAATTTCGATCGGCCTTCTCGAGGCCTTCCGGACGTTGATACGCGCGCAAATAATACGCGTCCTATTTTTGAACAATGTATCGTATTGCTCGAAATTACAATTTTAAATTGAGGATTACGATCTCTATACGCGCTTGTGTGAGCGTTTCGAATATCATTCGAAAAATAATTCAGATACAATTAATTCCGTTGAGGCGAAGTACTGTTATGTTACATTGGGATAAAAATACTGTATCGGAAACTAGATTTCGAAGGGTCTCGATTTGAGAGTTTTTAGCTCAAGATCTCGACACGTGTTACTTTTCTCCCGGCTCGCGCGTAGAAGCAACGGTACTGTAATTTCGACAACGTTACCTTCGACAGTCGTCCGAACGTCGCGCATCTTATTTTTTGAGCAAACTCTATTCCCGAAGAAATAAACTTGTAACTAATCGCTTACTTGCAAACTGAGCAGAGGAACGGGCGTGTCCATGACCTCGGCCAAGCACACCGCCAATGTCAGCACGACGATCAGCTCGCCGTACACGTTCGACAGGACCACCCATAATTGCGAACTGCCGCAAAACAATGAATAACCGGTCGCATTAAAATAATTCCAATTCGAAATCGCACACGTAAACAATTGCTTCGAAGTGTGGCGATTGCGTATCCAAGATAAACTTCCAGAAGACGTTATTTTCCGTTACATTTTCAACAAACAATTGTCAAAGAAAGTAGAATATAAGAAAAAAAGAATTGAATTGAAAAATATAAAAAAAAACATTCGCGAACGTGTAAGAATGCGTGGTCTCTCGTGGTCTCCTTACTAGGGTTCCGAGTGATCCAGCAGGTCGGGCGATCTGGTTCTCGCCAGAATCCTGGAGACCAGTGATCTCGCCGGCTGCGCCGAGGTGGATGCCTGCGCGGGCGACTGGTCGTCCTTGTCCTTGGTCCTGTCACCCCGGCTGGGGCCACTGCCGCCTGGCGCGCCCTCCACGGTGCCACCCGTTGTACTTCCGGTCTCGTTCAAGCTGTCCTTGTCGTGCTGCTCATTGCTCGCTGCAAGAAAGAGACAGGGTGAGGATGAAAATGTATATATATATCGCGCGTAACGTATTATGGACACAATGTGCGCATACGGCCGGAAAAGTAGGGGAATCTCACTTCTTCGCTACTTTCTTTCTTTGGTTTGTGCCGGGTCGCGTCACAGAGAGAAACGTGTGTAACTTTCGCTGAAAGAATTTTATACGCGTATATCTCCGCGCGTTCGCGGCGAGAATAGTGCCCGCGGCACTAAAAAAAAAAAAAAAAAAAAAAATCCAGTCGCGAGATAATTCGTTAGATATCTTGCGATCGTCACGTTCGCCATGTGCGCTTCTATGACGTCACTTGGATTCCGCGTAGAGAGAAAGAGCCTATAATTGCGTCTGATTTTAATGACACTTGTAAATTTCGTTCCATGTCGCTATAAACCGTATCTTCGTCAATATCGTGACGAATTCGAAAGTCCGCAAAGTGTCGACTTTTTTTTTTTTCTCACTGGCAAATTTTGTTCGCGTCGAATTTCCAGCCGGTTGAATTAAATCGGAGAGAGAGAGAAGACGGTCGTAATTTTTGGCAGTTTTGATTAACCGTAAATCAACGCAAATTACACACGTTCGGCGAAGAAACGTGCAATTCGTCTTAATGCGCGCGCGTATTTGATTTCTCTTTTCATCTTCAAATATTTTTTTTGACAGTCATCGCGGACAATGAAGCCGTAGAAAGCTGCGCGTAATTTCCGTCGGATTGACTGTAAGAGGTGTCGGAAGAAAGAAAGGAGGAGAAGAGGAAGAACTCGTGAAAACTACTTTCGATGTATCGCTCGTGTCCTTATTATCCTCTTCTTCAGTTGCAAAAACAAAATTTCTTGACGCGCCGTCGCGTCACACAATCGGCGCCGCGCGCTCGAAATTAATTAAGACAGCCGACATGAATTTGCTTAATTGCATCTTTTCGCGCTGATATCGCGCGTACGTTTCAACGCAATAAATCCGGGCGATACGTTCGCGGCGCGACGTTGCGTAGCCGCGCAATACTCGCTCGTCGGAACGTATAAGTGTACGTAGGGATTCCTCTGAGCGGTAAAAGTTCGGCTCTTCGATGCGTTAAATAGCCGGCAATTACGACGAGTGTAATGCCGTGTAATTAATGACGGCGAAACCAACGATAAAGTTCTTCTCGCGCGGATTCATTTAACAAACTGCGCTATATAACGCAATTCCCTTTCATGTGTGCGCGCGTTTGATTTCGTCCCGTCCCTTGAAATATCGATCGAATTGTATTTATCGATCCAATTCGCGCGATCGCTCGAATCGTTCGTTTTGAAAACAGTTTAATTGTCATTTCGTCGGCAATTTTTGATGTTAATTGCCGAGTGAAAAACGTTTCTCCGCGATGATTTTAACGAGATCCGCTCCGGTATTAATTCAATTATTAAAACATCGTTAGATCGTGTTCCACTTATCCTAGAGGCTTTAATTAAAATATTACACTTGGTACATTTCTCTTAGCACTTGAGTAATTGATACTCGAAAAGTGATACTTTGAATCTCTCGCGGGCTCTCTTATAGGCTGCGGTGTGTTTCAAATATAAATCTCTTCTAAGTCTTCTTCGTGGACAAAAAAAAAAAAAAAAAAAAAAAAAAGCCAATTCGATCTCGTTAACATTTCGACTGCGTAATTAGCGGCGATGTTTCGCCGCGTTAAAATCGAGCGTTCGGTTATTGGCCTCGGTTTTGGTTTTTTTTTCTCGTCGCGAGAACAAATGCACCGCACTTTAGTTGCGACAAGTGCGCTATTGCTTAACGAATCTTCGAGAATTACGACATTCTCCCGGCAATCTCAAACGGAGACCGCGCGAGCGTGCCACCTGACTGCGAAACGAATCGCTCGGGGAAATCTCGAGGCCGTCTTCGACGATCTGTTTGCAGTCGCAACGATCGACATAGTGATCCGTAGCGAACAGGACATCACAATTACGGCTGCCGCGCGTAAGTGGCGGTTGTACTTCGTCGGTCGTGAGACCGACTAATCGCCGCCTCCGTCGTCGATTCCGTTCCGTTACTTCGACGCAAAAAAACAAATCCTCTTCCGAGCGCGATCTCTGCATCGAGAGATCCTTCGCGCGGTATTCTTCACGTTTTCCCTACGAGAATTCTGCGAAAGATCGCGCATAATAAATAGCAAATTGCGCGAAGAAGTCAAAGAGTCAACAGCGACAGCTGGCGTCGTTTCGTCGCGCGATTAATGGCGGAGATGAAGATCATTGTGCGGTCCCGGAACGGAGACATGTGTTTGATTCAAGGATGACACGATGATGGAGACGCCACATAAAAAAGAGGGGGAGAAAGAGGGGATAACTCTGAAGAGAGGTGAAAGGTCTCTCGCGCGGAAACACATCGTGAGCATCTTCGACTTCGAGTGTCTCGAAGCCGAAGATTCCGCACAAAGGAACTCGATGACGGACGTTTGTGGGAAAATGTTCTCATCGCGATAATTTATTTTTTTTTTTTTTTTGTGCGAGGTTTTACACACGCGGTAAAAAATTGTTAATTTTATCAGAATTGTTTCTATGATTAATATAATTATGATCGATGGATTTATGATCTTTCGCTCGATAATACGATTTCAAAATTGATTTAACTCACGGAGAAATCTTTTCGAAAGCAACTCGAAATCGTCGATAAAAGTAGCGTGCGAAATCGATTTGTCAGCATGAAGTTTGACGTTGAATAATCTACGCGCACGTTTGTACGAATTGTAATAAGAGGATACAACTTCGCGCGCACAGTAGCGGGAAAGAGATGATGAATGTTAGTAGTGTATGCGGATCTAATTTCGCGGCGAAACTAGTATCATCGCGAATAGAAGAAACTACTATTTTCCGCGCACCTGCGGTACTGCCGCGCGCATCTGCGCGGTAGATCAGGAGGGGATGATTGTGGATGCGCTTCTTCTTCTTCTTGCAACTTTGTCGATCGCGCGACTTCGTCGGATTTTCACGGCTTCCACGTGAGATTCGCGGGACCAATCGGGGCCATATGACACACTCGGAAAAGAATGACCGTCTACGCGCATTTAACGGATCTCGCGTGTGTGCCGCGCGAAAATTTTACGCGTAAGTTCTCGAAAGCCGAATCGGAAGCGCGAAGTTTATTTCGATATTTTGTGCAAACATTCGGGAAAGAAGTTAACTATTTTGTAAGAAATTACGATAATTTTTTTTTTTTTGCGAACACGACAATCGGCAGCTTTTTGCAACTACGAATCTATAGTCGACTAAATCGTGAACTCGAACGATCAAAAGAAACAGTTAGAATGCACCGCGTCTGCGCGGACGATCGTTACGGTACATTTGCGGTAGACCTAGGCATTTTCTACTTTAACTTCGAGAGAATATTCACATATAACATAATGAAAACTCTCTCTAATTCAATTTCTAGCTTACCGAGAAATTTTTATTCGGGAGAAACACATTCGCGAGTTAATATAAACTGAGTACGAGCATAATTAAATTTAGATTGGAAAATAACGTCGTGTCGGGGAGATCTTCTAAGTGTCTCTTTAGGAAAATTAACCCTTCAGTGCCAGATATGGGTCGCCGAGATCCACCCAAAAGTTTTACATTACTGTCTCTACTAGGTATTAATTTAGCGCGACATCTGAAGGCCATGAAACAACATTTTAGGACCTTAGACAATGGTACAAATCGTTGACAGCGTCCTTTTTTTAATAGCTTTGCCAAGTTTGAATTTTGAAGTGCAAAAAGGATCTGAGAGAAGATCAACTCTACTAAAGTAAAATCACGTGACTTTAGTCACATGACCTTACTTTAGTTACATTTTTAGAGACTCGTGACTACAGTAAAGTCACGTGACTTTAGTCACATGTTGTTTTTTCTCTCCTTCCTGTCACGTGACTTTACTTTAGTCACATTCTTACCCTTTCAGTGCCAGATACTCTCCGAGATCTACCCAAAAATTTTAAACCAGTGTCTACTAGGTATTAAGTTAGCGCGACTTTTGTGTAAAGGCCATGAAAAAACTTTCGAGCCTTAAACAATGGTAGAAATCGTTTACAGCGTCCTTCGCTTTGCGAAGTGTGAATTTTGATTGTACATTAATTAGGTCATGGCGTGTATCTTCAAAACTGAAGCTTTTTTCAATCTGTTTTTTTATCGACGCAGAATCGTTCAATCTTTCGATTCCAAAACAAAAAAATTGAAAAAATATTGCTTTTTGCGGAGATATTCAAACTTAAAGTCACGTTGATATCACAAACCCAGCCTGGACAACTTGTAGGTCATTTTTTATATCTGGCACTGGAAGGATTAAGAGTAAAATTACCGGAAAAGCGGTAAAGTTTCAATACTTCGCGAATTCGATTTGGAAAAGATAATCGGTTCCAATGATCTCTCGGGCTAGATAGAAAAAAAATTGAACATCTACTAAAACGAGAGAGATGTTAAATTTAATATTCCAATAAATTCAAGAGAGCAATCGAATGTAATTATCTCCGACTCCAAATTACGTTCTTGAAGAGAAGAATTACGTTCGACCGATTGATCGTATCTCGAGTCTGCCAATATCGCCGAAAGGCGAAGGATTTACCTGACACGTCCGCTACGTTCGTCAATCGCGCGAGGAAGATTATCGTCTCGACGTCACGTCGGCGATAGCGGCGGCGGCGGCGGCGCCGTCCATCACACTCTCGGCTTTCGCGTGAAGAAGACGCCCGCAACGCGTATATTGACAAGAAGCGTACGTGACGATAACGCGACGGCAAGTGACGCGACGGGTAACTCGGCTGCGCTCTCGAAGGAGCATCGACTCTTTCGGGGATATCGAACCGGTGGTGATGGCGGCGGCGGCGGCGGCGGCGGCGATGGCCGCCGGGACGATGATGATGCGATTTTCTCGTAGCCTCGTTTCCGCAGCATCCGTCAATGCGCTACGTACGTACGGTACATGCACTACACACACACACACACGTACGCGTTGTTCTCGTCCTCGCGTTAT